TGACAATGAACGTTTAGGGCTTTTCTTGTAAATTCTATAACTTTGCATCAAAAGGTCGTGTAGAGCTGGGGGACGTCTCATTTTAATCAGAAATGTGCGGCTACAATCATGCAGCATTAAGAAAATGTTTTAGTTATTTTTTAAAGTTTCTGAAAACTGGTTTTCCAGAAAACCGATCTTTAAAGGCCTAGCAGCAGCAGTCATGGTGATATTCGGAATCAGCATGGTCGATTACCTATAATCCACTAGGTTTTGTTCAAAAAGCGATTAGATATTGGGGTTCTTTCCTCGTTAGTGTCACTAAAAATCTTTTTGGATTCGATATTTTATTGGAAAAGCACAGTTTTTAGAAGAGTCAGTTATTCAATCAAGGGGGGAGGAAAGCTGATTTTGGAGCTCTTTTCGATTTTGAGCGATTTCAATCGATTTTGGACCACTGTAATCGATTTAAATCGATTTCAAGCGATTTTGTGGGTCAAAACCGAAAAGAGCTATTTAATGCTTTCAGAAAACTGTTCAATTAACCATGAATTCTCATGGTAGACGATGTACTCTATTTGGTGAAGTATTTCCTAGTGAATGTATTTGAGTCAAGTACTTGGTTTAAGTAATGAGAACAGTACCTACGGGCTTTTCCAAGTACATTTATTTGTTAAGTACTTGTCGAAACGCTTAGCTGACCTAATGCAAATAAATTTACTTGAAAAACTTCGACCAAGTACTTCTTTCATTCATTATACTGCAGCCATACTCAACTTTTATAGAGCAGGCACGCGCATGGCTACCAAGTTTGTTCAACTAAGTAGAAATATCCAAATTTGTTTTCTAAGTTACTACTGATTAATATTCTGACGTTTATAGACGACTGATCGTTGCAAAACAAAAGAGTCATTGGCTCGTTCGGGCACTTGGCCGAAGAGAAATAAGTGACGATATTTGGCGAGTACTTAGACAAGAACATGTGAAGTAAAAACATTTATCACGTTTTTGTTCAAATGCTTAGTGAGTGGGAAAACTTGTCAAGTACTGGCATCAACTACATTCACTAGGTTTATAAAAATTTGATGTCCTAGCAGGGCGAGAATATCTTTGACAATTTTTTGTCAAGACTTTTTTGTTCTAATGTAGTAGTTTGATCAGCTGACTCTGCTTTTCGAACGGCGAGATGCCCAGAGCTCTGAAACGTCTCAGATTAAAGCAAAAAGTGTGCTAAAGATCTTCAGATGTTCTCACAGTCTACACATTCTTCGTACAAAAACTCTGATGAAAATACAAATACCTACTTTTCAAAATTTATTCGAAAAAGCAGATATTTAAATTTTCATCAGACTTTTTGCACGAAAGAATATGTAGACGGTGAGAACATCTGAAGATCTTTAACAGAGTTAGCTGGTCGAGCCAATAGAGTAAGATCGATGGTATTATGAAAAATTTTCAACGCGACTTTCATCGTTATACAGAATTTTGACGTCTCGCTTTATATTAAAGCTATGCCTTCTCTTACGTATTCAGTTTAAAATAAGTTGAACTTCAATTATTAGCTAAGAGTCGATATATCCACTTTTTTTGTCAACTTTGTGAATATAATAGTAGGTGATCCGTTAATCTTCCTTTTGATTTTGTCATTATACAAGCCTAGCTATACAAACTAGCGCGCTGTCACTTCATTGTCTACTAATTCATATTGATTTATACTGCACATAAAAAATGCAATAAAGAAATGATTCAGTACGGTTTTGTCGAATGTATATGATCGAAAAATTTCTATTTCGAATTAAATTTCTGAAAGAGTATATAAATATTTTTTGTTGTTATTGTTGTAGACAAATTCATCATGGATAAAATGTTTGCCGAACTCGATGCTTTGAACGATCCTGACGTAAGTGAAATGCTTGGTGGAATTTTAGTTGTCAATGGTTGGACATTCTGTAAATGTGGACAAGAAAATTGTCATGAATGTTTAATGGATCATCGATTTACAAACAATGAAGAAAATGGTATTGATGATAATGGTAAATATCGTGATTCATTAGTAGTAGTTACAAAAAAAGTTGATAAATTTAAATGGGCATGTCAACGTCATGAATGTGTTGATTGTCAAGATTGTTTTAATTTTAAAGAAATAATTCGAAAAGGTGAAATTAAAAATAAAATTCATGGAGCAAAGGTAGTAAAAATGTGTCTAAAAAATGTCTTCTATCATTAAACAAAAAAACGAAATAATTTTATTTATTTAGATTGAAAATGAGACAATATTCGATCAGTCATCCATTAAATTATGTCAATTACTTGAAAATATGGGTATTGATACATCTAAAACAACACAAAATAATTTAAAAGATTTGAATAAAAAAATTTTATTAGCATTGAGACGTGCTGAACGACTCGATACAATGTTTCCATCATCCATTGATCCGACTACATTATCAGAATGGAATAAAATAACTGATGGTTCAATACAAAATGCATTTAATATCGTTAATTTGAATGAAGCATATGAAAATTTTCAAAAATTTATACACACTGGAAAACGTGAGGCTAATGACGTGAGTAATGTTGTTGCTGTTTTATTTCTATTGTGCTATATTAACGGGTGGACCAGAATAAATGATCGTCCTCGTATTTGGCTTATAATTTCTTTTCTTTTTAATCCTTAGACCTGATTTTTTTTGCAAAAGATGCGCTGTCAAATTCTCTACAAGACTTGATTAAACTTGGGTTTCGGAAATTTCGGTTTCAGATCTTAAACCTCTTAAAGTCTTCCTCTAGGTACAATCCATTCATTTGAGTTATTTAGAAAATCTTACTATAGAGAACCAATTCGATTGTCATCCGACAGCATACGTTCTATCCGAGAGACCTTGAAGCATCTGAAAAGTGGGAGGCGGGAGGAGTGAGAGAAGGCGCAGCATGAGAGTGAGGCACCACATAAAATTTCATTTTGAGTTTCGGAATATTTATGTTTGTGTTGATCAAGTGTTAGTTGTTCTTTACACAAAAGTATTGTGTAAAAGAAGATTTTGTGAGACGTGCAGCTTGACCATGTTTAACTACGAGCTAATGATTGTTTTTTAATGTATTATCTAAATAATTTTTTGTTAGTAATTTCTTTCTACGAAACTTCCGCAATTCGACCATGTAATAGCCAACATCAGAGGAAGAGTTTAATCTGAAACCGAAATTTCTACGAAATTACTTTTCACCAAAAAAGAATAACCACCAGAGAAAAAAGTAGAATCATATTTTTACTCCTTTATATTCATTTTATTATATATTCCTACCCAAATCATAATACTACTATGGTAGTAGTATCATCATTCAAATTTTCAGACATAATAAAAAAAGTTTCACATTTTTTCTCATTTTATCGGTTCTATAAACAACCCAAGCCCACTTTCTTGCGCGGATCATGTTAAAATCGCGCAACGTCGCGATCGCTAAGAAGTTGATATTGTCGCGGCGCGATCTCGATGAAGTCTTACTCCTCGAAAATTTGTAATTCGCGATCGTGAAGCGATAACAGTGACTTTTTAATGATCGCGATGCAAGTTCGCGATCCAAGTGCGATCATTGTAAGAAAAAATTGTCATGCCGCGATCGTCTTTTTATCTTACAATCGTGATATGATACAGCGTCGCAGCGCGTCTCCCGTGCAAATCCTATTCACCGTTTTGTTTTGCTTACGCACCTGGTATATAACTCTTATCGATTTTTCGAAAAATTTTCAAAATCTAATCACATCTTAACAATAGCTTACGACATGACTAATATATAGTCTTGCGCAGTCGCGTCGCGCGTATGCTATTCGTCTGCGTTCATGGTAAAAGTATAGCGTGGCTCATTTACTGATATTAGACAGAAAAAGCGAATAAATAGTACCTATAGCAAAATACTGGAGAGTCATTGACTTTTGTATGAACGCGAAAAAATCGCGTCTTGTTTCGCGAGGCTCACAGCGAACGCGTTATACGATCCTGCTGCGATCTTTTAAAGAGACTCGCGTCGCGACATACGATAAGAAAGTGGACTTGGGAAATCAATAACTTTACCAAGTGAGGAATGTATTTAAATTAACAAGTCGGAATGACAGTATAGACCTAATTTCAGGCATGTACCCTGCGACTATGTAATAGCCAACACCAGAGGAAGAGTTGAAGAGGTTTAAGATGTTAAACAACTGTTAGGCAATTCTTCAAACAAGTTGTTAGGCAATTCTTTAAACTTATTTCTTTAAAAGAGTTAAGAAGAAAAATTAAACGAAGAATACTCAACATAAGGAAACGGACCAACTTTCTAAGCCGAAAAAAACGTTTTGTTCAACTGCTTTCATTGAGCTGTATGATAAAAAGAATAGAATATACGTATTTTGTAGCCCTTGAAAAGCTCTATCAACCAGTATTAGGTGCACAAATGCAAAATCAATTTGAGGGCTTATATCGATTTTTTCCTCTATGAGGCTTTGAAAAATCCAACAATTTGAAGATGTTGCTTCGGTACTCCGGGAAAATGCTGCATAACGAAGCCAAAATAGCACCTTTTTAGCTCAATGCTTTTTTATTTTGATAAGAAATGACATCTATACCAGATTCAGCGGCGATTTTGGTCACTTTGAGATAAAGTTTGGAATGCTAGATTTTCCTGTGCTCACTTAGATTTGAACGAACCGTGAACTACATAAGAAGAAAGAGTGCACTTTAAAGTACTCAAAAATATTTTCACTTTTGTTTCATTGTCTTTAGAGTTGTTTAAAATATTTTAAAATTTGTAAAACAAAGTAGCTTAGAAAGTTGGTCCATTTCATTATGTTGAGTATTGTTCATTTAATTTTTCTTCTTAACTTTCTATAGAAATAAATTTAATTAAGTCTTGTAGGGAATTTGACGTCGCATCTTTTGGGAAAAACAGATCATGTCTAAGAACGAGAAGGGTTATTTATTCTAGGCCATCCCGTAATTTCATTTGTTTGACTATTCTAGTTGGGTATAAATGCATTTATGGATCTTCGTCAAACATTTTTACATTTTGGTTTGCATTGTGATAGTCAAAAACTTTCAAATTTTATTGAAATAATACAAGATGAAAAACAACAAAGTGCAATATGTTTAAAATTTCTTTCAGTAAAAAAAACAGTCGATGGTTTACCATTAATTTTATTATTATATTCACATGAATTAAAAATACGTGTCGAATTAATGTCTGAACATATGGCATGGGTACAACATCAATTAAAAAAACAAAAATTATTTATGTCTGTTAATAGTACACTCGATGAACAACGTTTATTATTAAATTGTCTTGAATTGAATGCAACAAAATTAAAACATGGAATTAATGTTAAACGAGAAAAATTTGAAAATAAAATGAAATTATCATTTATTATTCCTGTTCGTCCATTAAATATTGTAGACATTGAAAATATTTTACATAATCAACAATGTGTTGTATGTTCAAAATCAACAACAAATACATGTGGAAAATGTAAAGCAATGGCGTACTGTAGTCGTGATTGTCAAACAAAAGATTGGAGTGAACATAAGAAAACATGTAAGAAATTTGAAGATTTATCAAAAGAAAAGAAAATTTTGAAACATCATGCTGATTTTATTGATAATTCCTCTGTATTATCGCAGTTAACATTAAACGATGATATAAATAAACAAGATAAATTTTGGTAAATCAACATAAAGTATAGAATTTAAATAAGTGTTTAGTGAATGTAGTATGTTTTTTAAAATAAAAGAATGATTCACAGACTAATGTTAACAACATGTTCAATTGATCGGTAGATCTATTTATGTGAACAGGTTCGAAATAAAACTAGTAGGAAATAATGATTAACCGTCACTCTTGATAGTTTTAAGGTTTTGATGAATTGATTATGAGGAATTTAAGTGATTAATGCATACGAACATTTATCATTATACATTATGTAATTATTAAGTTAACATTTTCGTTTGTAGATGAAGGTTTTGAAGCGAAATTCCTCAATCTTGATGGAATATACACTGATGTCAAATTTTTACTATATTGGCTCTGATGAGGATAAATTTTTACCAATACCCAGTCCTCTTACTGGTTGCTAAATCTCATGAATTTGAATGAAGAATTGGACATTATTTGTCTTGGGCATCAACAGTATACAATTAGATATGGGTGGGATCAAGGATTTTCAGTCACGGTTCCAGTCTTGGTCCCGTAAACTTGTTTCGGTCCCGTCCCGGTTGCTTTTTCAATGAAACTAGCTGCTTTTTTGAAATCTCAAATTGAGATTTTGGTGTTTATAATAAAGTTTGCATGGTACAGATGGAAAGTTCAATGCCTAGAAAAGAAGTGTAAGACTTTCTGACGGTTTTCTACAACATTTCTATTTAAGTATGGAGAACATGCAAAGTTTTAGCTGATTTTACGCAATTGTCAAAAGAAATCTTAGTTCTAATGTCTGTCCTGGTTTTGTCCCTGAAAAAAAGTTTGTAGTCCCGATCCAAGTCCCAGTAAAACCAGTATCTGAGTGTCGCTAGATGCTGATGTAGAGGTAAATGTCAGCCTCTTAGACAAAAGTTTGACTTGATTTGCATTTATTGCTTTCGACGATAAGTCGTAAATATTAGTATACTCTACCCACACACTAATTTAAAATTTTTTTTTCTCAATAAGAGATCTTTTCAGAAAGTTTAGATTACACTTTTCACGAAAATACAGAGATGAGCGAGTCCGAATCACGACTTGGACTCGAGCCGCATTTGTCTTTGACTCGGAGTCGGACTCGAGGTGAAAGACTCGATAAACTTGATTGACTCGAGCCACTTACGAGTCAGCCATGTACAACTTGGGATTGTTATGACGGTGTTTATTATATTTGTTATGTACCAGAAGAGAGAGAGATTTGAGAATATTCTAAGTAGAACATCGCGTCACAGGAGAGGATGGAAGAACTGTTCTTGGAAAAATGAATCAGGAGGAAGTTTTCCTGTAGAAAATGACTCGAAGTGACTCGAGTCAATTTTTGATGCGACTCGGACTCGAATCCCGGCTCGAAGGCTACTGACTCGGACTCGACTCAGACTCGGAAAAGTGGTGACTCGCCTATCTCTGCGAAAATATATTTTCAGTATTTTGAGCTTGTGGTTCATCACGAACGATTCATCGAACTTTCATCGAAAAGGAATGTCATCAAAAATAAATCATAGAAAATACTTTTTGACCATGTTCATGGTTTTCCTTCTGAAAGAGCTGTCCTATACACTCTCGCGGCTTACGAAATTCCTTTTTGATGAAAGTTCGCAGTACCATCATGGACCGAGCCATTACTGAGAATTTGAACATTTTCTGAACAAAGATATACTTTTTATTCTTGCACCGCTAAAGGACAAAGCCCGATGTTTTAAAAAACTTGTTTTTCAAAATTTCTCTAATTCGAAAATTAAAGTAAACATTGACACGATACTCAGGATGCCCGGGAATCTATGCATGATGCCTTTTTGAGATTTCCAGACTCAACAGAAAGCTAATAGATGTGCCTTCGGCGATTCGATGTAACTCCTGAATCATGGTAGTTAATAATCTGGGACTCTTGCAGGTTTGTAGAGCAAGTCTAAAGTATCAAAGTATCAAAGAGTCTAAAGTATCAAATGACTAAATTAGAATTGAAAACGTGTCTGGCAATGTACTCTTTGAAAGATGATGAGATACACCACATGCAGGTGGTCGTTCGAATTGACTTTTTTCATCAGTTTAGAGAGAAAGGTGTCCTCTTTCTAATAGTAAAAACTGCATCTTTCTAGCTCTTTTAATCCAAAAAATTATTTACGAAACAGCTATGGGTTGTTCTATTCTGAAAACGATAGTAGAGAGATGCGGCTTGCGTAGATGTGTAGAGCAATGCCTAAGCTATTGAATGGCTAGAGTAGAGTTCAAAATCTACTCAGTCATGTGTATGTGGATACACTTTCTTTCAAAGATGGATGAGGTACACCGTCTGTAGTTGGTAGTTTTGAGCATATTTTTGTTTCAACTTATGGTTAATACGCCCGCTATCCAATGGTAGAGACTACATCTCTTTACATTTTTTTATTCAGCACAAATTATTTGTTTATTACAAAATTTTAAAAATATATTATCCTAACGTTTCGAGTCACCGACTCAATACTGTATGTATAAAGAAAGATAGGCGTATGCCTATCTTTCTTTATACATACAATGTAAGTGTAACGTCAACATTTCTCTATCTACATCATATATGATAAAATTTTCTGATGATGAGTCGGTGACTCGAAACATTAGAATAATATATTTTTAAAATCTTGCAATAAACAAATAATTTGTGCTGAATAAATAAATATTAGAGTTGACACAAATTCCTGCCATTAAATATCCATAGTCTTTACATTCTGTTGTTCAAAAGTTATTTGAAAAATATCCATGCACCATTCTTTTTATTTCACGGACAATAGGTGCCTATAAGAGTTACGTACCGAGCTCAAATCTTGGCAGAAGCGTTCATAACTCATATACTTCCTTTTCGATCGATTTAAACTTCAATAAATCTATTTTTACATTCGCCATTTTGTTTTTGTTCGATGCACAATTCGATGCATTCAATTTATTTTACTCTTTTAGCTAGATACGCTTCAAGGTGAATCGATCGATTCACCGGCTAATGCATCTATAGATTGTGACTAGCGCGTTCATGCGTAGGTTCCACAATGAAAATGAGCTTTTAACTAGTACATCGTGTAGTCAGCCACAAGCTTGACTCAAAAGCGAACTTTGTATACGAAAAGATGTCGCCACTGTAACAGTTTTCCGTAAACTTCCACAATTTCGTCTGGGCAAATTTGCAAATGCTAAAAATAAGTGGACCAGATAGAGCTCGCAATTCTGAGTATGACTGATGTAATTTCTGTCTCAAAGAAAGTTCGAAAGAGCCGCCTGTGAGAAATATTACTTTATCACAGTAAATACAAAATTGTTGGTAAAAAAGAAAAACGCAACATCTGCTGTCTCTCTCTCATTTTAGTTTTTTATTAAAGAAAATACGTCAACTGAATTCACGATTGATGCTGATTTATAATCAGAATTCCTGTTCTAGGGCATGGAAACGCGATTAATTGCTCAGATATATTCAGCCAGATCCAACGCATCACCCTGTTTTGAGTGTTTCACATCGGCATTTATCTCCGCATCAATATACCAGTCTATTGGCCGATCATGACACATCTTATCTGTGATACTTGCTGTTTTTTATAGGCTAGATAAAATATCTATGCAGCAAAAATCATTTTTTTCTGTTAGAATATTGATGTTAATCATTTTAAAAATGTAGAACATCGTATGAATCTACGTATTTTACATGCTTAGAATTTTTATAAACTTTCACTTAAACAGAATAAAATTAATAATAAAATACTGCCTGCCTTTGAAAAACGCAAAATTTTACTTAGTAATTTTGTTTTTTATATAAGGTGTAGCTAATTTAAAATTGCATTAAAAAATTTTCTGACTTTATTATACATATTTTGATTCGCCGCATCGAACTGATCTCAAACATCACCTTCACAGCTCTTTCTTCATGGAGAAAAACTGTGAAGTCCTAAAAAACCTCAAAACCCAACCTCCATCATAAAAGTGATTTTTTTAAAGTTGTATTGCTACATCTTAATAAAAATGAAACCGAGAAAGAAAGAAACAGAACATTTTTATAAAATTAGAAAGCCATTTAAATCGGAAAAAAAGAAAGAAAGAAGTACACCACCATTGTAATATTTAACAATTAATTAGTATTTCATATGATTTCCTTTTTTATTTCACAAATTCACAGGTTGATGCTTTCTAATTCACATGATGAGTAATATTATATTTAATTACATATCCAATGAAACAACAGTTTATTACTTCATTTATCTCCAACGGTCAACATTCAGTTGTGTTGATTTAGTTCCTTGTACTACATAATGTAGAGCATAGATATATATTTGCGCCGAATAATGGATGCTTTTGTGGAACTCCCTCCCTATTGTCGAAGAAAAGGGAGTAACAGTTTCATACCCCAAAACCGCTTTTTAAGATAAATTTGACTCCCCCCCCCCCTCCTGGCGGACATAACCTGTTAAAAATTCTTAGATCGGTTCGAATGACCGTTACGTGCTACGCTGCCAAGGTTTCTTCGAATGATTCACTTTAACTTTTATTATGAAAACTAATTTTTTTATCTTTTTTCGGTTACGAATATGAAGACTAGACGTCTCCGTATTGGGATTTCCACCTTTCAGCACCTTTAGGTGCTACCCTGCCAAGGTTTTATATATGAGAATCATGTCAGTGAAGTTAGTAAACTACTTTGGCAAATGACAATTTTTTTTCATTTTGTTAAACTAAATTTGAATAACCATAAGGTCTGACTACACGAAGGGAAGACAGACAAAAAATAAAAACAGATTTAGTTTCTTTCTCATCACAGGAGAAAAATAGAAATAATCTCAAATCAAAAACAGCCATTCGTCATATTGGCTCATCGATTTGTGGATTATCGCAGATCTATTCGATACCACAGATGAATTAAAAATAAGAGTGATATTTTGCTTTTGATTTTTTATCAGAAAATAAACTCAGAATCAGAATATGTATAATAAAGTCAGAAAATTTTTTATTGCAATTTTAAATTAGCTGTACCTTATATAAAAACAAAATTACTAAGTAAAATTTTGCTTTTTTCAAAGGCAGGCAGTATTTTATTATTAATTTTATTCTGTTTAAGTGAAAGTTTATAAAAATTCTAAGCATGAAAAATACGCCGATTCATCCGGTGTTCTACATTTTTAAAATGATTAACATCAATATTTTTAACAGAAAATAAACTGAAAAAATCGCCATTCATATTCACATGAAAATCTAAAGTTTGTTTAAATCAACTAACCTTCGGGCAACATGTCCCAAAGTACGTACAGACATTTTTCAACTGCAGAAAAGATTCGATGTAAAAACACAATAACAACACTAGCCAGAACAATATACATAAGGAAAAAAAGCCATGAAAACTAATGCTTTTAAATGAGTGAATGTGTACGAAGTAATGTTTTGGATTGATGTTGCGTAAAGGGTAGTCAAGAAGTCCTATCTCGATTTGAACAATATTTATTGTTCAAATTGGGACAGGACTTCTAGATCACTCTTCATGTACACGTAGAAACAGAATCACTTGCCCATACTGTCCATAAGTCAGATTCACTGTTGGCAATACTGGAAGATATTTGTCTGGTAGAGAGTTTCAAAAATTGTCTTTACTGATCGGATATATCACGATGAAAAATAAATAGTCCTTAGATATCTGAAAATTAGCAGTCATCACAGATGCAAGGCAATAATCTTATAAAGCTATCACTAGATTAGTGTTTCTGATCATATCATCAAAGACTTTAGTAATATCGATAAACGGTGAAATAGTTCAATTTCATTTTTATGTTTCGAGACAATGTGCAGTTTTGTAACACTTGATTTTCTAAAAAAAGCTTTGAAAACGTTGTTAAAGCAAAGATAGGTAAGATATATTAAAACAGTTCTCACTAAAATGAGACCAGTGTACTGTGTATAATAATGCATTTGAGAGTAATAAGTGTTTTCGAAATATTCACTAGGTTTTGAGGCATTTTTCGATCAAAAACTTTACAAAAATTTTAATAGAATGCGAGCTGGAGTTCAGGACGAAAGTTCCGTATCCAAACCGCAACTAACAGATATGTGAGTTTCAAAGCCGTCAGTTATTTTTCCTGCAGTTAATAGTCTTGGACGATGTGCAATCCCTGTGCCAAATTCTTTCATGATAATGGTGATATTTATATATCGGATTTTCACAATGATAGAGTTATGAAATGACATCCTCGTTCACCGATTCAGATAGCTGGTGGAAGTGCTGATGATAAAATAGATAGTCACATATAGTATCCAACGGGTCTTTACGTTGATAAATATGAAAATATTTATATAGCCGATTCAGCTAATCATCAGATACAAAAACGGAAACCCGGAAGTATATCGGAAATAACGACAGCTGAAATCTAAATTGATTGGATACTCCATATGCAATAATAGTTGACGAATATAATCGTATGTTTATTTCGGATACAAATAGTAGTCTCACAAATGAAATGGATGCCAGTAGTGGAACTATGATTGCTGGTCGTAATGGACACAGAAATATCTCTCACCAATTAAATTTTCCATATCAAATCCAATTCGATACAAGAGGAAATTTATATGTTGCTGATTCACGCAATCATCGTATTTTACAATTTAGTATTTCTGGTAAGAAAATACGTGCAAATATAAAAATATCGACAGTATATGAAAAAACGTACATATTATCGTCTAAATCTTATGATCAATGAGAGCTTTCCATTTGCAATTTTATGTTGTCATAGCTCTTGCATGACAATATAAAATGCCAGTTACTTAACAAGCTTAAGCCTCTTTCAACCATACGGTATGTAAGATATAAAGTTTCATTTTTATCTAGTTAAATGTTACTTAATGTTAGTTAAAGTCCTGAAGCGAGAAGAGTTTACTTTTTCACCAAAATGTAATCGTTTCTGTCTTGCATTAGAAACATAAATTTATGATGTTGGCTGGTGGTAATACAGTTATTGTGTGATGATTGCGGTTGAAATTTGACGTTCTTGTTGCCTCTATGGCTGTTTTATGTTTTGAGACTGGAAATTGTCGAGGTTTCTAAGATTCAAGAGCCCAAGGTCTTAAGAAAATCTGAACAGAATGATTATATTTATATGAATTTGAATAATACATTTTATTTTTCAGAAATAATTCTAGCAATACTGTGACAATGTCAACATATACGTGTACTGTATTATTATTGTTTAGGAGACAGATGCTGGTAGCAGAAAATGGTTCTACCCTCATCCAAGTAATAATTTTATACGAAAAGATCAACGCTATGGTCGGTTCATCTTTCCGTAAGAAAAACTAAACAATTTTCTATTTTGATTCAGTATTATGTTCATGACGCTGCTTTCAGATGTGATCATTAGTATTGCTGCCAGGTCTTTTGAGTGGCAGCTAAACACTTGTGAAAGAGTACATAAGAGTTTAGAGTAGCATGCTCTTCTCAGCCTCCTATAACTACTGATCATCGATCCTTAATGATTAACTATCTGTTTAGCTGTAACTCTTCAGTGAATATTCTACTATAGCAGAGTCTCCATTTATTTGCGACAGTTTCTTCGCTTTCAGTGCTTTTCACACTGTACTGTAGCGTCCTCTGCTGCATCACATTCTCTCATTTAATTCTGGTAAATTAAGCCTGTCTAGTTTAATTTACTTGACGTCTAACGCGCTGTTAGTTGTCTTCAACATATCTTCTAAATATTTCAAATAAAATTATCATTTACTTCTTCTCTTTTATGATTAGCACATCCAGGGAGTATCTGACGGCCATTTTTCCATATTTTGCGGACAAACATACAACTCGTTCATAAGACCCTCGGCTAAAGTCCAGGGAACATCAGCAGCGGGTTTAGGATTTTTCTAAGGTACATATGGTAGATAAAGAAAGGATGAAGCGGATACGGTCGTTACAGAAACACAGTTTTTTGAGGCAGTTCTGTTACGCAAAAATCGTTTTTTCCTCCAAAGATTCAGGCGCTTTCTGAATCCATCAATGAAGAACATCAAATGTCTTCGTTATGTTTGTCTAAAATGACGTGTTTGGTAAGCACTCGTTATGTAAGGAGAGTGATCTATTGCGTAAGAATTACATAATTAAGTGTAATCACTGTTGTATTTAATAACAGACTTTTATTAACGAAGGAAAGATGAGTGACAACGACGATTACGAGATACCTGACCGTGATGGTCCAACATTTGGCATCTCGATAACTCAAGAACAAGTAGATCAATTATTTTCAAAATACTTGCACAAAACCGTCACATCATTCGTAGAAATTAATCGTGGCTATAATAATCTGCTTTTTTTCGTGGATACTGATGACGATGAACATTATGTTCTAAAAGTTGGTGGTCGCTACTGGAAACAACTGAAAACTGAGACAGAAGTTATTGCGTTACAGTTAGTTTCAAAGTACACTTCCGTTCCTGTACCAAATGTTGTTGCATGGAGTATTGATAAGGATGAATTTGGCATTGAATGGATAGTGATGACAAAAATGAATGGTGTTCCTGCTGATACTTTATGGAAAAATGACTTGACAACCGATGAAAAGAAGAGAATACTATCTGAATTAGCTGGGTACGTTGCACAAATGAAGTTAATACCAATAACCAATAAAATTGGAAATTTGAGATTCAACAAAGATGGAAATTATGAAATTGGTCCAGATCTAAGTTGGAATGGACCATGGGACACATTCGATGATTTTCTTGAGGGACGTGTGCGAGATGCCGTAGATACGCTCACAAAAACGATATTCGATTCGGTACGAGATGAAATGTTACAGTTCTTTAATCAATTCAAAACGATAATTCGTCCAACGTTCGATGTTCCACTTACATTCATTCATGGTGATTTGACGTTGCAGAATATTCTCATATCACCTGAACGACAAATTACCGCTATTCTTGATTGGGAATGGGCTGGATCGTTTCCTTGCTCTGAAGAATATTTTCAATCGTATGATGACATTGAAGATAAAACATTGAAAAATTGCTTTTACGATGAGTTAGAGCGTCAACATGTTCAAACACCACGAACTATTGCGAATTTTGATTTGATTCAAAAATTAAACGATTTCAAAAATGATTTGGCTCCATGGTACTTGACCGATTTGAAAGATCCAAGCGATCCAAATATTATGAAAAAATTAAACGAATGCAAACAGAATGTGAAATGTTTACTGACTGAGATAAAGCAAGGTTGTGATAAAAATTTGAAGTAAAATATTTCGAGACTAAGATCGGAAAAGGAATGACATGTTTAATATTTATTATAAAAAGATGAGTAATGTTTGACTACGATTTTAGTTGTGTCCTAACTTACTTTTAATTCTATAAACTGTATTACTTCATTCCTCTTACTTCTCATGCCAATGACAAAATGAACAATATGTAAAAAAGCATGAATGAAACACACAGCCTACCTAAAGCTGTACATAAAGATAAGAAACAAATCTAAGTTACGTAAGATAACGTAAGAATAAGATTTTTATTATGTAATAATATGTGAAAATGTAACAGAAGAAAATTTGAATTTATCTAAATGTTTATATAATATGTACACAACTTCATCCGGCTGTTCGATTCTATACAAAAGATGGTAAGATTTATTACTATTCTAATAATCGTCAAATTTTCATTCGATCATATAGTGATATTACAAAAGTTACACCCCAAAATAAGACCTAACAATAGTTAACTTAGTAGCAAATAGTGTTGTACATTAACAGTCCTCCCGCAGAGTAAATCGACGCTAATCAAAATTTATCGACAAATCCACGTTCACCACGTCTAAGAGACGCTACAGAAATATTATTTATAATCTGACGTTTCGTCTTTTTCCAATCATCGTCTGTGAAACCAAGATGTTCGGTATGATGAAAACGGATTGTGATCGAGTGCCATTAGCACCACTAGCATATTGCATATCGGCAAAGTCTGTTGGCTACATATACGTAGAACTTTGTACACCATTCAAAGAGAGTGAGTGTTGGTGCATCAACGATGTGATAACTAACGCGGTAACCTCTTGAAGTTATAAATTGCTTTTGAACTCAGACTGCCTTTTTGTCTTGTAGATCTCAGTGAGTAGTGAAATACCCTAAGTTGGTTAGTGCCCATGGTGCTTTGTTGCTGAGATACTGAATTTTTAGTCAGTTTTTGCCTATAGAGCTTGAATTTCGAGCAGAATCCGACTTTCAAATTTTGATTTCAAACTTGCCACACTTGTAGCCCCTGGTCATAGTAGTACGATGAGAAAATATTCGATGCTAATGAATTTTCCTGCCATTGAGACTCGAATATTTGACCCTCGCCCTTGCCTTCTGGTGAAATGTTGGAGTCTCAATATCTCAAGACGGGAAAATTCATTAGCATCGAATATTTTCTCATCGTACTAC